GAGGGGTGTGTGTGTGTGTGTGTGTGTGTGTGTGTGTGTGTGTGTGTGTGTGTGTGTGTGTGTGTGTGTGTGTGTGTGAGAGAGAGAGAGAGAGAGAGAGAGAGGCACACTGCCCAAGTAGGGAGACTTAGGTTGGGAGCCACAAGAGTTGAAGGCCAAAGGAATTTGGATGATAAAAAGGGGTCTCTGTGAGAGGCTACCCCGATACGAGGAGGATTGCTAAAAGAGGGTTTCTGAGTGGGAGAGGGAGCTCAGAACTCACACAGAGGATGAAGACCCTCACACCTGGATTTTTCTTCTTCCCTTTTTTAAATATGGGCACTACATTTGCTTTTTTACAATCGTCCTGGACCTCTCACAATCGCCACAAGTTTTCAAAGATAATGGCCAAAGGCTCTGCAATGACATTTGCCAACTCCTTCAGCACCCTCGGAAGCATTAGATCTGGCTCCATGTCCAGCTTTTCTAAATAGTTCTTAACCTGTTCTTTCTCCACTGAGGGCTGCTCATACTGTGCTACCTAGTGCAGTAATCTGGGAGCTGACCTTATCAGTGAAGACAGAGTCCTCCCCCCCCCCGCCAAAAAAAAGCATCGAGTACTTCAGCTTTTCCCACATCATCTGTCTCTAGATTACCTCCCTTATTCAGTGAGGTTCCCACATCTTCCCTGACCACCCTCTTATTGCTAATATGCCTGTAGAAACCTTTCTTGTTACCCATCACATTTCTTGCTAGCTGCAATTCCAATTGCACTTTAGCCTTCCTGATTGCAACCCTCCATGCTTGAGTAATATATTTATACTCCTCCCTAGCCATCTGTCCAACTTTCCACTTCTTGTAAACTTGGGAAGCTGGTTGGGTCCCCCCACATTGCATGGAGCTGCTCATAGGAGCAGCATGTTTATATTGATGCTCCAGACCATCCATTTGCCGCGTCCTGTCATTTGATATGAATGTCTCAGCTCCTTTATTTTCATGCAGCACTGCTGGGTGTCCCTGGTGTGTACTTTCTCCTCCATGTCCCTTGCGATCTCGCATAGATATCTGCATTTCTTTTGCTGGTTAGTAGTTCTGCGAGAACAGATTCCTCTTCCCACACAGCAATGAGGTCCAGGATCTTCTGCTTGCTGCATGCTGGTGTTCATCTGCTCCCCTAGGGAGTCATGGAGCTCATAGAACTTGAATTCCTGATCAGGTGTGCTGCTTTCTCTGAGGTCTGCTTGCCCACAGGAAATGAAATTCAGATTTCCCCAGGGCTTATCCTGCTCCCCAGGAGAGCAGTAGAATTCAAAGTCGTGGCCAGACCAGGTCACTCTGGGACACCTCCCGGAGGTCAAGGACGTTGACTTCTACAGCACTGTATCCGCGCTACTGGAGATACATGCAAGATCGAATTTAGCAGTTACTTCTCATGAAAAGCAGGAGTACAAAAGCTGACTTTAATGGCCCTTAAGCCAAGGGAACGCTCTTAGTAATGTGGACTCATTATTTAGTAAATCGACCAAATGCAACTAAATTCGACCTAAATTCCGAGTATAGACCGGGTCTCAGACTTCCTGCACAGAGCCCCATCCACTTTCCCCACCAGACAGAGCCCCCTCATCACCCCAGCCCTTCAGTGTTTCACTATCAGATCCTTGAACCCTGTCTCCAGAAACCTGACTGTGGGGTGCACCTCACAGTTTGGAAACCTCTGTACTAGGATAAATATATT